ACATAAACATACCCTGCGAGCATCACGTTAATTAAAAGGGTGGACCCAATGGCTAAGCCAGCAAGTTCTCCAACCTGAACCAATTAGAAAAAATAAAAAATAAAAAATCAAACCCTAATTAATTCAATCCAAACCCTAATTCAATTCAATTCACTTAATTTGGATTTTGATGATATGTATAGCAAAGGGGGGTTTCAGCTCAATTACAGCTCGGTTGTCTGTGGCGACTCCAGATATGACGAACATGAGAAGAAAAGTGATGATGAATTCGAGCGCAAGCGACTGCATGTCGGCACCCGATGGGAGGGTCCCAGCAAATTGGTCCTGGGGCCCACTGAACAATAATCGTAGGGTCCCACTTGCTAGGGTTGCTCCCAATATCTGAGCTCCGGCATATGCTGGTACCTAAAGTCAAAATAAATAAATAAATAAAACTGGTGTGCGAATAACAATATACTTATAAGTACTAATATTCAGCCTCTTATAATTGTCCTAGCTAATACAATACTAAAAGTGTTTGATCATAAATATGTTAAAAACAAATCAATCTCAACTTAAAACATAATTCAACCATTCACTGTACTCAATATTATCAATATAATTTAATAATATCAATCAAACATTTTTACTCACAAAATTTTAATTACATGTTACTTGCAATCATTTGTATTCTAATTTACATCAAATCAATTTGATTATTTTATTTTCAATATTATTTTAATATAAATAAAATTTCAGTGACAATTAGTCATATTAGAGTTCTCAAAATTAACCATAATCAACCAATAAAAATGAATCGATACCTATATATTTGTAAACAAGCAAATTAACCCTGTAAAATACTTTTGACTGAGATGTAAATGTCAAAATCTTGGCATATACGAACCAAATTACTTTGTACATGTACATAAGGGAAAAAAAAAAAACATAAAAAGGGAAGGAAGAAAAAAATTACTTAAAAGTTGAATATTATTACGGCACATCACGTGTACGACTACATTATCCTTTGTATACATCTAAATTACCATATAATTATTTTCATTTTTTCGTCCAAATATTAATTAGCCAGACCACATAGCCTAATTATGAATTACTAAAAGCAAAACTTAAGTTAATTAAATAAAATTAAAAAAAAAAAAGCACCTGTTTCCATGGGAATCTGCCACACGTGGCGAAAGCGATAGTGACTGAGGGGTTAAAGTGTGCGCCGGAAATATGTCCGACGGAGTAAATCATGACCATTAAAACGAGGCCCCACACTACGGCCACGCCGGCGTGAGTAATTGCCTTCTCTTTGTCGGCGTCCACAACGCCGGCAGCACATCCGGCGAATATCAAGAAGAATGTTCCGATAGCCTCAGCTATTAACTGCATGTTTTTTTTTAATAAAATAAATAAATCAAGAATTCGAATGTATTAGCAAATTAAAACCCCATTAAATGAGAGGGAAGGGCAAAAAAATAAATAAATTTAAATTTAACCCTAAAGAACTATTTTTTTTTTTTCCATCGCTTAATTTCATGTAAACCGGAAAAATTATAAATTTCCATGAGAAAATGCAAGGAGAACACAAACCCATGTTTTTTCACAAGAATAAAAACAGAAAAGGTCAATCAATCTAGATAATTAATCAAATTAAAAAAAACCTCATATAGGTATATGTACTGATTCAACAGTAAAAAACTCGGTGTACTGTCTGATTTTTTGTTACGAATTTTTCCATAATTATAAACGAAAGCTATTATTATTATTTGAGGAAAAAATTATAGTTTGGCATAAATTTTTTATTAATTACCTTTTGTATAAAGGGTAGAGTGAGGAAGCAACAAGAATCATCGCCATTGTTATTCATATTATCATCTTGTATTCTCACAACATGATCGCCATTTTCTCCTGAGAAAATTTCATGAGCCATAATTCTTTATAAATTTGGAAAAGGAGAAAGATAAGTGAATATGGATAATTTAGATTCTTTGTCTGATGTGAGTTATGTAGATTCTTGCACAAATGTGCTATTTATAGACACTTCACAAAGGTGTAGATATCCATCAATGGATATTGACTTTAAGTACTAGTCAATAGACTATAATTATATATTTGTTTTATTTTTATTTCACACAATTCATTAATTACCCACATGATATATATAAGATGGATGAGATGGCAAAAACTATACTTAAATTTTTTTCTTATTCTGTTTATTAGTGCACTGCTTGTAAATGAGATTTTCTTTAGTATAATAATTTTCTTGTAACATAAGAAATTAGTAGGCAGTGCGTAACGCTTATGTCAGCATCTCATATTGAGAGGGAGAGAATATATATATTCCCACACAATAATATGAATAAATGACAAATTTGCTCAATAATGTTAGGATTGCATGAAATGTTTAATAACTAACCAAATCGCTAATGTTTTATCTAAACACGTGAGTTAATGAATGTTTTTATAGTTTTTAGTAATTAATTAATTGGTAGGTTTTGCTTTGTTTTTTTATATATATTTTTAACATATTGTGCTTGATTTTTATTAGTTAGTAACCATTTTTTAAATTACAAAAATTATTGTCCGAATTTGATGCTTACCGAGTATATTTTGTAGTTGTGCTTATATATATAGCAATGAAATTATTTTGTTAGGCCGCAATACAACCCGTCATTTAATATGATAGTATATTTTTTTAAATTCTTCTAGTTTTTCTTGAGAATTTTCAGTTTTTATGGTCTTTAATCAAGCGTTTTTCTGTATTTCATGATTGTCAATTTGTTCCGTCCATCTTCAGTATCCTTTTAATTAATTCTTTTAAACAAACTACTTTTGTTATATTATTATTATTACTTTTATTTCAATATTCATCTACTCTCTATCATTGAATTGGATCCATGACTGAATCCCAAAATCACATGGACTACAGTCAATTCTAACTATTGCTATACTAACTATTCAAACTTATTTTCAACTTTAGTTATATATAGGAGTATGTGTAATTTCAATCCAGTGAAAATTAATTAAATGGTGAATAAAGTTATATAAATAAAAAAATACAATATACTGAAAACAAAAATTCGCAAGATTGAGACAGCCGACAAGAGCATATGAATAAGACAAGAAAAATACACACCCTATAAAATTATTTAAGATGCATATATAGAATCTAAACTAATATATGTCTGATAGCTTTTTGAAAATTTTCTACTTGTTTAATTTTCTTTCGTTTTCTTCAATGAGTTAAAGATAAACTATGTTCTGAAGAGTTATATATTTGGTTTGAACGTAAATTTAACTTTAGAGGCCGGGTCCTAATAAACAAGTTTTAAGAATTGAATATGATGCCTTATTTTTATTTCAATTGTGTATGATGTTATTTATATATCATATGCTTTTATTATATATACACATATTATTACCTTTATATCGTTTTTTTATAGGTTATAACAACTATAAATTACAATAAATACAATAAAAATAGCATTATACACAATTAAAAGTGGTGTGTTCTTAGAGCACTGAGAGATGGTATATGTATATCTTGATAATTTTTAAAAGTACTCTCATAATTTTCAGATGTATATAAATTAAGTCGTTAAATTAAAATACGATTAATGTCTTGTAAATTTTAAAAATGGAACCAATTTGAAAATAATTGTGCCCTTAAAATAGGAATTTTTGTTAAAAAAAAAAAAAAATCTAATGAGGTATATGTGTTGCGTGCTATTTTTCAGCTAAAAAATGAATTTCTTACCACAATTATCCTCAAATTGATAAATTTCTTACCACAATTATGCTTGTGGAAATAAAAATATTCTAATAAAACTGTTTTTGATTCATTTATATTGCCAACAAGACAACTACACACATCAATAATGGAATAAAACATTCTTTCTATTTTAATCAATATATTAGATAACCCTTTTAAATGAATTAAATCAAATGCCAGGTAAGGTTGATCAAGAAAACTAAAATACAAGCTCCCAAGTCCTAACACATTTCATATTGTCAATTAACATGCGTTTCTAAATTATTTTGATACTAACCTGTACTTTTATTTAACATGTGATCAAAATTAGAATTCGTATTTATTTATTTGACATATAAAAATTGTCACAAGACAAGATACAACAAAATTAGACAATTACAAAAAATAAAAATGGATAATAGCCCGATACATAGGTGGTTGACTCTCTCAACCATCATTAGTCAAGCATTAGTGTTTGATTAATAATGTCCCATTTAGGAAAACAGAATGTGAAACTGAATTTAATGCGGATCTTATTCAGTTTGATGCAATTGAGTTTCTTCGCGGGCAAATATGTTGTCGGGAAAAAGCAAGTAAATGAATTAAAAATATATAAATACATATTCTACACATATGCTTTAATAATTATGAATTTATTGGGAGATAAAAATAGCGAGAAATCAATAATTTCGTGGTATGAATATTGGAATCTTTGCAAGTGAGACCATTTCAAAAGGAAACAACAGTTGATTTTTGTAGTTAGAACTACACGCTTGGTTTTTCGTTATTTATTTATTTATGTTTACCCCCTTTTTTTTCTTTTTTGAATTAAAAGAATTACATCTTAAGAATTTGTTGTTGATAGAAATTTAACCTTCGAATCAAAAAATGAATATGGTGGAGCTTTGAGGTGTAGAAGAGCGAAGCTTAATCGAGTCGATAAACGAGTTCGAACTCGTTTAACTATATTAACGAGTTAAAGTCTAGCATTAACGAGCTGACGTGAGACTTATCAAGTCGAACTATGTAAACATTAAAAAAAGTAAAAAAATTGTATTCTCGAGCTCCATCAAGTTTTACTACTCGTTAAGTAAACGAGTTCAAACTCAACTTGTTTGATTTAACTGAGCTCGAATCTCAACGAACTTGCAAGCAACTTGCATTTACAATAAAATACACCATCCTTGATTAATTTAGCCACAAGCATAATTGCAATATCTATAGTATGATTAAAAAAGATGTAGTACTCCCTCCATTTTGAAATATAAGGCATTTAAGGTTATTGCACAAATATTAAGGAGACATTAATTAATGAATAAATTGACTAAATTAACTTTATTTACTCTAATTACAACCACTCCACACTTCCTTAATTTCAACACAATGAGGGTATATTTGGAAAAAAAAATGCAAAAATTTGTCTTGATTTTTGAGCGCGCCTTATATTTCAAAAAAAAAATGAGAAATCTTTATACGCCTTATATTTCAAAATGGAGGGAGTAACTAAGAGTTAAGAACAAAATATCCGTGCATTAAAATATGAAGATATGTTGGCTTCTATAATAAGTACTGAATTAAAATTTTCAAAGTATTATCATTATAGCAATGGAACTTAGTAAACTGACCGAAGTTGCATCATCTACAAGATTTAGCGTAGTCAACCATCGACAAGCTTATGATTACTAGCGCATCAAACCAAACCCCAATTTCACTCACATCAATAGGAAAAGTAATCATTTTCATCCTCCTAATTAATATACAATCCAAATATATTTTCCATAAATAATGTACAATGGTTCAAAAAAAATATTAATGTCCCATTTCCTAATATAAAATAAGGTTAAGNAAAATTGTCATGAAGAAGAATTGGTTATTAGAGAAAATTCTATACAAATAAAAATGATTAATAATACATGTACCATCAAAATGATTTACAGATTGAATTATCGAAAAAAATACACATGTCAAATGTTCATCACGACTCCAAGGATTTTATCAAGACATCACTCGATCAGCCAATTTGTAAATTAATTAACAATTCAGATTTTACCAAATAGATCTAAAAAAAAAATAGATTTACGTCACTGATAAATAAAATTCAGAAACAAGCTGTTAATTTATCCGATAAATTTGACGGCGCAGTCATTAGTCGAGAAGCTCATAATTAACCCCCAAAGTCAATCAAAATTCAACTCAAAATCGAAGCATCCCACAATTAGTGCAATTAATCAATTAAACCTTGTTTTTCTTACTCAACGCGCATGCAAACCCAAATTCAACACGCATGCAAAATGCCACTTCCTTCTCATACATTGATTCCCCCCAACATATATATCTTTTTCTTAGGACTAAATTTAATAAATCCATCCAATTGCAAGAATATGAATTATTATCCAATTAATTATACATAATATTCCTTGTCCAAAGTCTACAGTTCTGGAAAATAAAAGGTCAAATATTCTCGTTATCCAGACGCTTTCACACCTTTTTTATTGCTCATTATGGTATATGCTAGAAATTGACTCCCTATGAAGTTTTCATTTTTTATTAATATTGTTTATTTTAATTTGTTTTATTAGTATTGTTTATTAATGCAGCCAAGAGCAAAATGACTTGAGTGGGATCTCATGAATCGGGCAGTTTTTCAATATGATTGCTTTTAAATTCAGGATCCGCAGCAATTATTCCGGTCAAAT